GTTGCAAGTGAAAAAAAGTGAAAAGAACAAATATAAGTTTCTCTTTTGTATCTGCTTCTTTAGTTTGTACATTGACAGCATCTTGTCTCTTTCTCATAATGGACAAATTTCCTTGCTGTTTCTGTTGCTCAACCGAACCTTCAGGCAGAAGGGGAAATAAAAACAGCAGCCTAAGCACAGCAGAAAAACGTCCCTGCGAAATTACAACAGGATAAAAGTGGAAACGCTTTAGAGCTGAAATGTATCTTCCTTTCTCACAGACACATAATTCCAAGCTGCTGCAGCCCCCACAAGTCTTTACTCTGCAGGGAAGCAGTGGACTCCGCAGTACTGGTTATCTCATCAAAGTGAATGGTTACTAGTCAGGAAGGACGAGTCATAATTGCAAGGGCAACACAACCAGGTTGGTGCAGCCTGACACAGATCAGTTCCCACAGCCCACCCACTGGGGGTCTGGTCTGGTGATGGCAACAGGGTGATGCTTGGTAGAGGAATTGCTGGTACTTTGTCGGATCTGAAGGTGGGACCACCTTCTCTCCTTCTGAGAGCCCTTGGAGGCTCCATCACTTCGCCCATGTCCCATTGCCCTGGGCCAGGCACTGAGTGCCAGGCTTTGTCCTTGCTATAGGCTCCTGAGCACACTCTAAAGCATCACCTTTCCTTTCCCAGGTCTTCCCTTTGGCACTATCACCACGAGTACTCATCTGTGAATACGTGGCAATTCCACACAGTAGGGCAGTGGCAAAAGGCCACTGGAAAAGGCCCATATGCCTGATTAGAGGCAGTGTGTGGTGGTGCCTGCTGTCACCTGCTGTTCTGTAGCCTTTGCAAATCACAGTCTACTTGATGCTAAGACTGGATTTCACTAAGGATAGAGCAGTTTCCACCTTCTGCTCCTGGCTGAGACCTTCCAAATATTTGATCATTGTACCGGCTCTTTACTGGACCTCCCTTGGAGCTAAAACAAGGTATTTAAAATTGGATAAGCTATATACTGGGAATTAAATTGAAAAGCAAATTTACAGAGTTGTAATCCCTTTGAAAATCAGACTATCTGAGCTTTCTCCATTTATTTTAAATGAAGCAAATAAAAGAAGTTGAAATTGCAAAGAGAAACACCTTGGGTATACCCCAGTGCAATCACATCCAAAAGAACAACCAAATTTAACATCAAAACACATCCAGAAACATGAACAATTCTGCAAATACACTACAATTCTTATTTCTTTTTTTGCCAAGAGAGCATTGCTGTTAGCACTGCTTCCAGTGTCTGACCAATCTGTGACACACATCTCAGAGCAGAGGATTTTTCCATTAACATAGTTCTCTGAATGTACTTGTGAAACACCAAGTACATGTCAGCAGCATTCACTTTGAGCCAAACAACACCTTTGATCACAATCATTTGATTTTCTCTTTTCTCCAGACATCACTTCTTATTTCCATTTTACACTGTTCCTTCTAAGTGCAAAGGAAATTCTTGCATTACATCAAGGGGGAAAACGCAGCTGGACAAACAAAATGAAAAGCAACACAAAAGTTCTATTTGATTCAATAAAAAAATATCAAAATTCAGGAATCAAGAAGAGGCATCAAATGGGAAACCCCACAGACAGATTAGCCTTTGTGTACCTGAGAAATATGCCATCTCCCCAACATTCCTACCAGGTCTTTGCAGCATGGTTTTTAAAGTAAAAAAAACTTCTTGAGGTTGTTTGAGCATTTATAAGAATGTAAATAAATCGTTTTTTCTTGCATCTGCCAGATCGAGTACTAGAGACATGTTTTCTGCTGCTGAGTGACATACATCTATTCAAATCCCTTCTGAACCAGAATCAATATTAGCTAGATCCATTACCCCCTCCTTTATTGGCAGCTTGGGTGCTTGTTCAGAAAACAGTCCTTCCTAGTAATGTAATAAAGCCCCCACCTTAGAGATAATTAGGTTGTCTGTGATATAGAATCCACGGATGATCCTTTCCCTGCTGATTTTGGCTTGCTACTCCAGCTCAGGTTGCAGTCTCCATCACTACATGCTCTTACATTAGGCCATCTGAGTCTCATCACCTAATAATTGCCATAGCAGATTCATTTAGGTATTTTTTTTCTTACTCTTCTATAATAACAGCAATCAGCCAAACCTCAGTGTGTCATTAACATGCTTTTAAAAATGCACTAAAATGGCTTTGCCAATTGCCTTGAGATTTAATATCCTGGCCACAATACAGATATCACTCACTCTAACAACAAATCCTTCCAGGAGTGCACACATGACACCGCCCTTCCCCGTGGTTCCTTTGAGTCCTCGGTGCGCCCCAGAGGTTAATGAATTCAAGCTCCAAACTGGGAGCAGAAGCAAGCTCCACAAGTGCTATGAACAGTCAGACATGGCCTTACCAGCTGTCTTTCCTCAGCACACCTTCCTGATGCCTCGATGGGTTCCCAACTTAAGGATCCTCACTTGTCATTAATTTCATTACTAACAAATGAGGGAACCACAAAATGATGCATCTACTTCCTCTCAGCTCCCCTCCCCTGATCCTGTGGTACAACCTGTCCCAGAAGGTCCCACACATGTGCATTTTGTTTTACTGTCAAATGCACTTGGCTTTGATCACTGAAGGGTGAGAGAAAACCAATCCACTCTCTTAGATACATCAGCTTGTAAATGACGGTCTCTCTGTCCTAGCAGGTGGGAATACATGACTTTGAACATCCCCTGGGGCCTTAGGATCATTTTTCTAATTATCTTCATGTCTTTAAACAACAGGAGTGGACGACTAGCTGTAATCCTGTGCAATGTATAGCAGAGGAGACAACATTTTCTAGTCCTGAGCTAAAAAAACCAATATAAGTAGGAATAGTTATTCCCCAGTTTTAGGCATTTAAAACCAAACCTTACCCAGTGATATTAAATACTTAACTAAAACAACAAGAGGCTGAAGAAGAAAGAGCTGAGGCATAAAGGGAAAGTGGGTTTCCCTTAATGTCACAAACACTGACAGTTTTGATGTATTTATCAAAACAAGTACAAGGACACTCTGTGTGTGGGTGGCATTTTCTTCTTATAATTGAGAGCTGCAAGTTCTCCCCTGGATGTTTCAGGCTGTGAATCTCTCATGGGCATAGTGCCTCCATCAGAGGTTTTCTCCAATCATGGCTTTTTGCTGCAATTTATTGACTTCTAAGGAAGGAAATAAGGGTGGTTTTGCTCATACACCTCGCTAGAACCTAACACTTAAATCCATACAGGCTACCAATATATAAATACTCCATGGATATTGGATTGGTATTTAGCTTCCCACCACTTGAACAATTCCAAAGCAGTAGTCTCTAAAGCACGCTTCAGAAATAGCTATAATCTAATCCACCCTTATTCATTGCTCACAACCTTAGCACCTTTCCTGAACCACAGTTCAGGTCATCAGTGAGAACAAGCTATATTTCATGACATGTAAAATTGTATTACTGTGCTGAACAGTTTTTTTCTCAATATTTTTGCCTATTGGTTAGCAAAGGCTGAAGTTCTCCAGCATACACAGATTGTCAAATCCTGGGATTCCCGGGAAACATCCCAATAGTCTTGGAGTCCTGCCTGAGCCTGGATAAATGGAATGTATTACAATCAGCAAAGGACTTAATTAATGGATGCTGACATTGTACCTTTCATGGAACAAACAAAGGGGAAAGCATGGCCGTCTGCCCAAGGAGAGCTACAGTCTGACTTAGGCTGGCAGTACAGATCAGACACACAAGACCTGCAGAGGGAAGGCTGACACTGAGCTTTCCCTTTGTTTTATGTAAATACAGATACAGAGAGTGGCAGCAGAAAGCAAAGTGTCTCTCCCACGGACCCCGAGGCTTTTCTTGCCTTCTTGTCCAAAAGTAAGTTCAGATTTTATCTCTCTTCATCTTCCTGTTGTCTCCCTACACACACATGCCCTTTTTCTCATTAAGTTCTCCCTAAGTTAAACACTGTTTTTTTGCAGTGTTCCACATTTATTTCTACCAACTCAAAACTTAAAACTCAGCTCCCTCCAGAAGCAGATCATCTCATTTCCTCCCCTCACTTGGCCAAGGTCACCCATCCCCTTTGTTCAAGTGCTCTCACATATTTGGTTCAAATGCTCTCAAATATTTGGCTCAAAAGCTCATCCATCCCACCACTCCAAGGTATTTTTTTCCTTTTCCTACGACTGCTAACAGCCTATAAACTTTGCATGGTTTATAATCCCGCCTGACCACACAAGATCCCATCTCTCTCCATCCCATCTTTTCCATCAAGATCATGAGAACCTGTCAGATACAATCACATGCTCTGACAGTGTGCTTAGACCCTGAGGACTGGATGCAGGAGGAACCACTAGCATCTATAGGTGGCAGGGATAGGAATAAAATCCTTTATGCAAAATAAGTTAGTGTACCACAGGATCTCTTCACTGTCTATACAGTAAGAAAAGGAAACACTCATAGTCTACAAACATATCAAATACAAATGTAGATCACAACTCATACCTCAGTACTTTCCCACCTCCAAAGCATGTTATTTTGAGGACTAGCATTTGTTGATTTGTTTATCTTCCTTTGCCAAAAGTCAGGAATTCATCATCAATCTAAATCCCTCCAGCTCTTCTGTTTCCATTTCTGTTCTGTTTCTTTTAAAATACTCTCCACTCAGCAGAAGTGTTACTTAGCTTTTGCTATTTTTTTTTTACCAAGAAGTTTAAATGTATTGAAAGGGAACTGTAATAAGGCCCCTAAAGATTTTAGACCTGAATAAGTGACACACACAAACTTCTCTTCCCTGCCATTCAGAAAATTGTATTACCATGCGCAATATTGTCATTATCCTCTCTCCTATTACGCCTGACACAAAGAAGTTGAAATATCTACTTCATGCTGGTGAGAAGGGGACAGAACAAAAGGAAATGTAGCAAAAATAATAAAAAAAAACCAGCAACAAAACCAAACAGAAGTGAAGATATTTTTAAAGTACTTACCCAGCATCAGAGCTATTGCCGCACAGCAACACATCTTCTGTACCATTTTTTATGAAATAGTTCACTGCAACAGAAATAGAGAAATGGCTTCTGAATAAACACATTCTGGGAATGATAGCATTCAAAAATATCATCCACCAACCAGCATATTCAGTTGGGACAGTAACTGAGAGATGAATGGCATCCTTTTGCTTTGTTTTGCTAATTTTAACTTCTCTTAATTGTACAAACAAATATATTTTTCAAATCTCTTTAAGCACTTGTTGTTTGTATTCCAGATCTGAACAGCTGAATAAGGTGGCAATGTGCTGTGGGCAATGTTTGTAGGAAACCTTATCTAGCCATGTCCCTGGCTGTTCTAACCAAGAACACTGTTACTGAGTTCCATAAATGTAATGAAACTAAGCCATATGTTTGCCTGTAACTTTTAATCTCTGCACTGATGATACATATATTAATTGAAGGTTGTGATAGAAATTCCTGACTCATAGGTTAAAAATGTAACCAGCTATAAGTCAGAATGTAATAATACTAACAAAGCAGCCCACTCCTCCAGTCTGGTGGATTTTGCTCTGCATAGAAAACAGAGTATAAAGTAAAAGAAACAAAAATGCACCCTGCTAAAGATCAAACAAACAAGGAAGTATTCATAAAGACAAATATTTATCAATGTAGTCATCCGTAATGGCAATGAGGAGAGACAGACACTTCTAAAGGGAGACTCAGAGGAGCAAGCTAAATTTAAGTGCTGTGGATCATTCCCTGGTTGACTATCAATAAGGCTTAAGGAAATAACCATCTCCAGGCTAGTGAGAGACTTTGCATACACACTCCCTCTTCTATCCCCAGTCAACCAAGTCTAACACTCAGAGACACAGAACAGGAGGTCAACTTCTTCTCTAAAGGATGAGCAAAACCAGCGTTCCAGCGAGAGTGTGAAGAAAAGGAGATGTTCTAAGGAGCATCTTTAAAACCCGAATGGTGGCATGGAAAAACAGATAAAAGCATTGATCTAAAAACATAATAAATGCAAAACAGAGGCCCGCAGGCGACTGGTGAAGGGTAGATAATCTGGTGTGCTTTGCTGCAGCAGAGAGGACATGATCCTCTCTTGACACAGCACACGATGGTGGCAGCCTTACAAAGTAAGACTTTGTGAGCAGACGGGCCTCTGAAGATGACGCTCGAACAGGTTCTCCATTCTAGGCTAACCCTCTGTTGTGAAATGTTTTAAAAATGAAGAGTGACAGCTTATCCAGGCAGGGTATGCAAAGAATGCTCAATGGCTCAACCACCGAACAGATGTGCTGTGGCTTTCTCAGTAAGCTGCGAGCAGTGGAAAAGCCCTGCTCTGCTGCATGCCAAGAGGGAATTACTGTCCGTGAGCTTGTGGTTACGAGGGCACGTGATGGTGTTCACAAGTTATCAGAGCATATATCCTGCTCAGACGGTATGTTTTTCAACCTTGTGTTACACGTGGGTGTTCTACAGAAGCATCTTGCCTGACAGCAACACCCAGGAATTCAGTATGGTTAAGGATTGGTGATCAATCACCACAGAGGGGGGAAGGATGCCACGTTCTGCATCGCCTTCCACCCTCCAGTTCTGCTGGTCAAAGACTTGCGCTTTTCTTGGGACAGGTGGTATCTTATTTGGGATACACACAGTCAGTGACACAAACACACCAGATCACCTTCTCTTTGAACTAGACGATCTTTAGTGTCCCTTCCAAAACAAACCATCCTATGATTCTATGGTTCAAGGTTTGATCAAAGTTCTGGAGCACAGTGCTGGTTGAAGACTGAACCAACACCTCCTGCTCAGCCAGATCAGAAGATGAGAATAGAGTTTGAGCACAGGATTAAGGAGGACAAGGAGACACTGTGTGCAAACAAAAAATTTGAATTCTCAAGAACAGACAAAATTCTGTTGTCTGCTGTTGACTTTAAACATCTACATTTCTAAAACAAGCAATAAGGCAGGTGCCAAAGAGCCCCAGTAAATGCACACTGAGGAACTGGTGCACAGGTGCTGCTGGGAGGGGGTAACTTCACCAGTGGGTCTGCAATTGTGCAAGGGAGTGTCACAGCCACCATACCAAACCTCAGGCTGAGGAAGAGCTGAGCTCCTGATTCCCTACTGATACATAAAGAGGGTATTACAGTATTATACCCAAGGAGACAAACTGCTGTATTAACAAAAATGTGCACAACAATCACTTTGTCCCTCAGAGCACGTTGGTTTGGATTTCAATCAAGCCTGCTGGGCAATCAGAGGTCTGCAAGAAGCAAACAGTCATCACTCTTGCTTTTAGGAACAAACCACCTTGGTATCATATTAACCCATGGCCTCAGCTTTCCATCAGTTAATTCTAACATGGGCAAATAACAAGAAGCTTCTTTTTCATATAGAGGAGGATTTTCTCTCTGAAACACAGACTGCTCAAACTGATAGACACCACCGGAAAACACAATGACTTTTTCATTGTCTTGGAAAAGTGCAATTAGTTTTTTTTTTGTTTTGTCAGTTTTTTCACTTAAAAATTTCAGCATGTGAGTGGGAAACAAAATAGGAAAACAAATATGGAAAATAAAAGCAAACCCCTCTATTTTAAGTGGGCTTTTGATTTATTTATTTTATCTTCAAGGTAAAATCAAGCCAAAACAATGACATTTATACACGTGTGTGTGCATACATAAACTTTATGCAACGTGCCATTCTTTCCAAAGGAAATACTTTTTTTTTTTTTTTTTACCAGCAGTTTTACTAAAATACAGATGTCACAGTTACAGGGTATACATTGCCTTTTAGGAACTTTTCTACTGGAATTTATAGAGTAAGTCACATTAAAAAAATTATAAATGGTCTGAATAACAAGGTCTCCTGCAAGCCCATGCTCTGCCTCTTACATTTCTCAAAGCACACACCACTGGTCCTAGCTGTAAATGCTAGTCGTGAGGAAATACACAAATTCTCTTGGACTATTCTGGCAATCTCTTCCTTCCAAAGTCACTTCCTCCTCATTTTGGCTGTTTCATTCTACACTTTGTCTGTTTTCTCAATATCTTTCAAGTTTCTGCATTGATCCCTTCCACATCAGTTGATTCTAAGAGAGCAAACATTCACAATGTCTCCACTTGTCAAATTAACAAAAAAAAAAAAAGGGCAAACTTCCTCAAAAAAATAATTTATTCCAATTAAAAGTATGCTCCAGTTTATGGTTTCCACACCTATATCATACAACAGAGCAGAAAGCCATTGGGATTCACAGACTGCAGGGTAGAAACCTTCCTCATTTCTGTGCAAAGGAAAGGAAAATTTTCTAGTTAAGAAAAATAAAAAAGGTTTGAGTCAGCTTAGAAAACACACTTTCTTGCCTCCAGCTTCTGTTCCTCCTTCGAAGGCCCAACCGAAATGTTGTTTTGACTCATCTTACAACAAATTAATTCCAATTAAAAAAAAAAAAACCCAACCCTATATATTATCACACTTGCATAAAGAGCAACATTCAAATATCATTAGTCACTGCCCGGGGAAGAGTCCTCTGGCTGACTTTCTAACAAAAACTTCAGAGAGGTGTCCGTTATCTCAGACTATTTATTGCAGCCGCACGGGTGCTCACTGGTCGGAGACTTTCTCCCTGTGCTACGGCTGGCACAGAGCACGGACCAGCCACCAAACACCCCGACTCCAAATTTAAAAACACAATTCAGAGAGCCCCAGTCGCCATACGTGACACGGAAACAAACCAGATAACACCCCCTCCTCGCCCTTTCGCCCACCGGCGCAAACACACTGTACCTCCTGGTAATACACAGTAATTAAAACGAATCCTTGCTGCACTTGCTGTGTGCACACTGTGTCACACACGGTGAAGCCTCTAATAAACGAAATTGAGTTTGAAGATGAAAAACATGCCTCACAAAAGCGGTGGAACAGGCTGTTTTAAGGGTGTTATTAGGGAAGAATGCCTGGGAACAAATGGCGGTGCCAGTTTAGTTCATTCCTGCTGAAAGGCGTTGCAAATAATTATAATAATCAGTTACCCTCCTCTTGCTCAGGCCATGACAGGGGATCTGGCTGTCTGCTGGCATTTGCTGCTGCTGACCCTTCTGCTGGGTTTCACAGGCTCTTGGGTGCTCTCCTCTCCTTGCTTCCTATCCTTCCCTCCCTCTTCCCATGGGAACTCACTTCTGGCCCAGCTCTCTCCTGCCTCCTTACCCCATAACCATGTGGAAGGACATTTTCAAAACTTCAGTTCAAAAAGGAACAGGAGGAATTACAGTGAAGATAAGTGGGTTGGGTGGGTAGAAGAGAATGGGCAGAGATCAAGGGGACAACGTTATATACGTCATTGGCTACTACATGACTTTATGGTAAGCACAGTTTTGAATTCAGGGCAAGAACAATCTTGCAGGAGATATGGAGGGCTGAGAGGACGTTGTAGAAAACCACTCAACCAGGTGCTGGGAGGAAAGTGGTCTCCTTCAGCTTGAGTGTCTCTGGTGAACTCCTATTAGTGCTTCTCCCCGTGCTTGAGACAAGCCAAAGAAGTAATTTCCCAGCCAGGCTCAGCAGTCACCATAGCACAGAAAACACCTCCAGTTTTGGCAGTACAGCTTTTTCCCTCTTTGGGAAAAAGCCACTAAAACTATCAATCAAGCCCTCTGCTAGATGGCTCCCGTGCACAAGAAAGATGCTCTGAAAGCCTCAAAGATCCACAGTACCTGGTTTGTGCTGCCCACACAGTCTGAGGGAACAAAAAGCACATCAGGAGCATTTGGAGATGTGCACTAGAGGAGAGTGGAGAATTTAGATGCTGTCAAATTGGTTTGGGGACCTTGCCAAGTCCATGAGCATCCCCAGGAAGACGAGATAGGAGACAATGACTAGCAATAAGCACACATGCTGGCTTTTAAACATCTTCAGGTAACCTCCTTCCCTGCCTCTGTGTCTGACCAGTCACACAGACCCGCGCTCTTAGGACTGTAGGGTGCACAGCACATAGCTAAAAGCATATTTAGTACCACTTGTTTAGACATATGCTTCACACTAATAGGTAGG